GGGGATGTAGCTCAGTGGTAGAGCGTTCGCTTTGCATGTGAAAGGCCCTGGGTTCGATCCCCAGCATCTCCAAAGTTGTATTTATTTATTGTTTGAAAACAATTTTAATTAGCCTCTTCAACAATATTCGTTACTTTAATGTCATACTAAAATATAAGCAATGGGTAATGTTGATATTGTTCTAAGTATATCCTCCAAATATATATTAGATTCGTCTGGATATTAATAGCGGAGAAAAGGTAATACCTATTGCCCTTATCGGTCAGATACCTATCTAGTAAATTAATTTCGACCTGTGTTTCTTCATTTCGACATTTAATATTTGGATAAATAGATATTTATATTCGTTATAGAGCCAGTATATAGATATTGTAACTAAAAAAGATATTGATATATATCCTACCCCCACCTATCCCCTAGTAAAATACTAATTTAAATGTTGAAACAACCTACTTAAAATATTTATAAATGTGAAAGTTCGTTCGTATATTTGTTACTCAATCATAAATTTAACGGACGTAGTACGTCGTAGAGTTCACATACCAACTGATTCAAGCTTGAATCAGTTGGTAGTTCACATACCAACTGATTCAAGCGTACAAATGCGAAGGAAAAAGTTACGAAATAATTTTGAAATCAATTAAACATATTTATAATGAGTCGTTAAAATATAATAAAAGATATTAACTCTTAGTACTATATATCAACTTAATACAAACAAACAGACTCGTTCGTAATAAATATTATTATATTTTTTTTTTATGGGTGATAATGGAATGGTAACCCCACCCGCGCTATCGGTATACACCGGCGGGGTACCAGTGAAGGATGATAGGTGAGGATGAAGCAGGTCAGTTAGCCCATCGTGACAAGTCAACAAGAATTAACCACGATGGTTTCCAGGGGGAACCGCGTGGAGGTCGTTAGCAATATGCCCTATTAGGTTGCTAATAGGGCATATTGCTAACAATGGGGCTGTCAAACTTCATTGCTAACAATCCTTTTCCCCCATTTTATTATATTGTGCGGGGAACAAATTAGGGAACAAACAAGTATGTTAACTATCGAGGACGCGATATATTAAACTGTCACTGTCAAAGTTGGGCTAAGCATTGAAATTTATGTAACTTGAATTACTAGTTCGCTAGATATGAACAGCATCATGAACACAATACTGTGACACTCTTCGTGCGTTATTATTTTTAAGAATTAAGACATAATGCCTCTGTAGCCTGCATTTGCACTCCCATATTCTACTCTCCAAAGCGAAACAGGGCCGCGCAAGCACTACTTGGTAACAGATATACGATTGGAACCGAAGCATTCATGCTATCGTTTTATTTATTTATTTATTACTTTTATACAAAGTCTTCGTCTGGTAAAAGGTTTGTTTTCAACGTATTATGGTCCCCATACAAATTATTGTATACTGCCGTTACTTCTATAGACAAACATTGTTCTACATTTAGTGCTTATATCAATTTCAATAAATACACTTGATGTTAACTACATATTTTTGTCTGTAGACAAGTATAATTTTGTTATATGGTAAAAAAAAATATTTACAGATATACACATGTAATTATTTTATGATTAAAATTATTGACGGGGATGTAGCTCAGTGGTAGAGCGTTCGCTTTGCATGTGAAAGGCCCTGGGTTCGATCCCCAGCATCTCCAAAGAGTCAGTTAATTGATTTATATTTTATGTCAGAAGTCATATAATTTTATTACTTGACATAGAACGCATTCAGAAATATGTACGAGTATATTATATGTTAAGTTATTACGGGGATGTAGCTCAGTGGTAGAGCGTTCGCTTTGCATGTGAAAGGCCCTGGGTTCGATCCCCAGCATCTCCAAAGAGTCAGTTAATTGATTTATATTTTATGCCAGAAGTCATATAATCTTATTACTTGACATAGAACGCATTCAGAAATATGTACGAGTATATTATATGTTAAGTTATTACGGGGATGTAGCTCAGTGGTAGAGCGTTCGCTTTGCATGTGAAAGGCCCTGGGTTCGATCCCCAGCATCTCCAAAGAGTCAGTTAATTGGGTTATATTTTATGCCAGAAGTCATATAATTTTATTACTTGACATAGAACGCATTCAGAAATATGTACGAGTATATTATATGTTAAGTTATTACGGGGATGTAGCTCAGTGGTAGAGCGTTCGCTTTGCATGTGAAAGGCCCTGGGTTCGATCCCCAGCATCTCCAAATTGTCAAATAAAACCCAATTAACAGTTGTTTATATTTTTTAAGAGTGGGTAACTATTTAACGTATATTAAAAAAATACAAAATTACGACACTTGTATTTCTTAAAAAGAATCGATATGGGGTGGTAACTCAGTGGTAGAGTGCTCGCTTTGCATGCGAAAAGCCCGGGGTTCAATCCCCCGCATCTCCAATGCGTAAACTAAATTAACACACATATATTTTGTTTATTTTACTTATTACTGTACTAGCCATGTTCGTGACTTCGTCCTTGTATGGGGAAGGGATTACTTGTGGGGTCTAAAAGGCCCATTGCTAGCAATATACCCTATCTGGTCAACTCTCACGCGGTTCCCTCTGAAACCCATCGTGATTAATTTTAGTTAAATTTGAAAAAAAATTGCCCGGGTGTATATAAAAAAAATTCACCCATACATTCTCGTTTTGCACTAAGCAACATATTTAAATATTTTTTTATTATTACTATGTATATAATACTTAGTTATCTATAAAATTTTCAATGTATAATGTATCTTATAATGTGCCAATGGAAGACTTTCTACAAAAGTCGTTTGATTGGGTACTTCTGTCCCATTCGTGTTTCAACCTTGAAGCTGTTGTGTTTGCATGGCTGTGTTTCGGTTTGAAGGATGGAATATGGTATGAATTTACAGGGTACAGAGTAATAACACCTGAATCCTCAGGAATTGCAACGCATGGAGGGTATCATGGGGGAAACAGTATACTCTGTTATGTCTATGGTACTGCTCATGTTTATAGGCGATAGTTACCATTTTCCATCAGGTGGGCCATCAGCTTGTTTGCCATTCTAAGTTATATATAAAACAAAATTGCACGTATCGAGAAAATAATACCATAATATGGAATTGTATTTTTTTTATATTTTATGTACCTATACACACGAAGAGAGCTTTCACTTACTCGTAATTACAGTTATGGATGAAAAATCGAAGCGTTCAGTGTTGTCGAGTTTTTAGCATGAAGGTATTATAATATAAGGCACTTTTGATGTAATTTCCGCAAGAGCAAGCTCAGAAGCTGTTTGTACCCGGGTCACGTCGCAGTATCGATCCCACTTGCCTCGCCGCTACCGCCCGGCAGCCAGCCTCCGACTCTAAACCGTCTTATACAAACACTCTGCAAATACTTTAAAGCTATTTAAGTGTACTATCTTCGTCTAGTGATAAGTTTTACTCTTTTTCTAAGAGGTACAAGCAAATCTTACACTAGATTTTTCAATTTATTTTTAAGCGTCTTCAAAAACATATGGATGGACTCTTCGAAAGAGGTACTCGTAACTACACATCTAAAAGGCCGGTAAGGCACTGGCAATCTTTCTTGTGTTGCCATTTTTTAATGTTGCCATGGGTGACGGTAGCCATATCCCATCAAATGGACTACTAGCCAGTTTCTCCTTTAAATTAATTAATTTGATTAGTTATAGGTATAGGTCTAGTTAAGTTCAATATTGCTGTAAGTATAGATAAGATAAAAGTAGCTGAAGGTCTAGTTAAGTTCAATATTGCTGTAAGGGAGGGAAAGGGATTGTTAGCAATGGAGTTTGACAGCCCCATTGCTAGCACTATTACTATTATTAGCTACCCTATTAGGTCGACCTCCATCTGGTTCCCCCTGGAAATCATCGTGAACAATTATTGTTGAATTCATCACGATGGGCTAACTGACCTACTTGATCCTCACCTATCATCTTTCACTGGTGCCCCGCCGGTGTATACCAATAGCGCAAGCAGGGTTACTATATCATTATTACCCATTAAAAAAAATATTGCTGTAAGTAAAGATAAGATAAAAGTAGGATTAGAAAAGTTAAATATACCTACAGCTAGGTCTAGTTAAGTGTTAATTCTGAATTTTTGTTTACATATTATTTTTGTCACTATGAATGAACTTGTGATTTTCGTTTTCACTTAGCAAGTTCATAAATGATTTAAACTGTAGTGAATAACGAATGAGATATATTCGTACAACAGAAGTTGATATACATTATTACAGCATGTATACCTTGGTTTACCAAGGTGTATTTCTTCCAAACACGCTTGCAATTATGGAACACCGGTAGGAACTATAGCCTTCTTCTCTCATGTGCTTTGTGCTTATTTTTCTAAATCCATTAAGATCAATTACGAAGGAAGATCGACTGTACTTTAGAAGTCGCTAAGTTCTGCTCTAAAAATATTTATTTTGCTATTATTTAGAAAGAAGAAGTACAGCTCCAGTCATCGTGTTACTATAAATGTTTTAATTATTTTAAGACATAATCAAAACATTTATAGAAACAATAAAAAGAACATAAATTTTAAGACATTTCTATTTTTACTCTCTTTAACCAAGTGTACACTAAGTAGTGTGTATATAATTATATTTTTAATTTCTTTTTTTTTTAACGCTCTTGGATACCATGTTACACCACAAGGTGTTTACATAAGATTTACATAGGTACTATAAATTTTGTTTATTCAAATGTTCGACTAGTGTTTATTTAAATGGAATTAATATTTGTATATTGGTCTATTTTTTGTATGTAGGTATAAAATATACTTTTATATCAAGACATATGTGGGGGATGTAGCTCAGTGGTAGAGCGTTCGCTTTGCATGTGAAAGGCCCTGGGTTCGATCCCCAGCATCTCCAAAATGTCATATAAGTGATTTATATTTTATGCTGGTAGTAATATAACTTTATTACTTGACATAGAATGGATTCAGAGATGAGTATATTATATGTTAAGTTATTACGGGGATGTAGCTCAGTGGTAGAGCGTTCGCTTTGCATATGAAAGGCCCTGGGTTCGATCTCCAGCATCTCCAAAGAGTCAGTTAATTGATTTATATTTTATGTCAGAAGTCATATAATTTTATTATTTGACATAGAACGCATTCAGAAATATGTACGAGTATATTATATGTTAAGTTATTACGGGGATGTAGCTCAGTGGTAGTGTTCGCTTTGCATGTGAAAGATACTGGGTTCGATCCCCAGCATCTACAAGCTAAGCTATGGCATAGTAAATGTGATTTAGATGTTAGCGGAATATATTTTTTAATTACTTAAGGACTAGAATAAAAACAAGAAACACTATACTCTATTATGTCCATGGTACTGCTCATGTCTATAGGCGACGTTTGCCATTCTGCATCAGGTGGGCCGTCAGCTTGATCGCTAAATCTATTCTATTCTAATAACTTTATTATTTATGTTTATTTCGTAATATTCATACGTAGGTATAAGACATCGTTTCGTATAAAGATAATATAAATTTATGTTATCTCTGTGCTTAATACAACTTAGCTGCGAAATACTAATATCTTTATTTCGTATTCAGCTCGGTACTTCGAGTTTTGAACACGAAGAAAACATTAATTAGTTCTCAAGTCTAACTCCTGTATCTTTATGCTCTAACTAGATATCATTAGTATCTAATACCCAACTTCTTAATATTAAGATTAGATGTAAAAAGAAAGATAAAATTTGCTTTTTTTGTGTAATCTTTCCAACTTAGAATGGCAAACAATTTACATGAACAGTACCGTGAGCATGACGAAGTAGGTACGAGTATACTGTATTTTTTTTTGATGGGTGAAAATGGAATGGTAACCCCGCCTGCGCTAATGGGATACGCTGGCGGAGCACCAGTGAAGGGTGATAGATGAGAATGAAAACAGGTCAGTTAGCCCATCATGATGAATTCATCAGGAATCAACCATGATAGCTTCCAGGGAGAACCGCGAGGAGGTCGACCTGGTTGGGTATATTGCTAGCAATAGGATTCTCAGTCTCCAATACTAACAATCCCTTTCCCCCTAGAGTATACTGTATTGTCCATGATAATTTTCAGAATTATATTATATATTAAATTACAAATGTTAATTTTGACTTTATCTCTTTTGATTTTTGCGGTTATATGAGTATGGTTGAATTTATTTGGTATTTTTTTTGTGAAAGAAGTTTGGTGAACGGGATTTTTTAAGGAATGCAAATAAATAAAAACGAATCTTTGTATAATATTGATCGAAAAAAGTTGTCCAAGCAAAATGTCGTTAAATTATTATCGTAAATATTTTTCATATTCATTAATAAGTAATGTGGTTAGTATTTGAAATGTACAAAAAGTTTTTAACAGGTAGGTATTTTTTACAGACGAAGTTAAGTTTAGGTTCGACAATTATAATGATACAGGTGGTCATTGTAATGATGTTTACATAGTAATAATAAATAAATAAATTTAAAGCAATTGTTTTAATTGGATATATATGATAATTATAATTATGATGACAATGATGACCAGCGTAATAACGTGTGATACCTAATGTTGATGGAGATGGTGATAAGTTGTCACCGATAGAAATATACAAATTTATTTGCACATTTATATTATTAGTAAGATAATGCCGTGTGGTCCCGGCATAGAATAAGTCACCTCTTTATTTTCCGTGGGTGTCGTAAAAGCCGACTTAGGAAGGGCGAGGGATGGGCAGCAGCGTCTCTCTTAAAACATCTCTAAAGCCTGACTGCGGTTACCAATCCGCCTGCCAAACGTGGCAACTACTGACAAAACTCTCCAAGGGGGAGGCTTGTGTTCAGCAGCGAACAGTTAAAGGCTGGTATGATGATGAAGAGTTATCACTGGTTATTTGATTAGAATTATATTGTTTATTTCGCTACCATTAGTACCTATTTGTTTTTGTACAACTTATAATGGTAAACAAGCTGACGGCCCACCTGATGGAAAGTGGTAACCGTCGCCTATAGACATGAGCAGTACCATGGACAGAACAGAGTATAATGTTTCGCCCATGATACCCCCCCTGCGTTGCCATTCCTGAGGACTCAGATGTTATTCCTCTGTACCCTGTAAATTCACGCCATATCTCACCCTTCAAATCGAAACACAGCCATGCAAACACAACTGCTTCACGGTTGAAACACGAATGGGACAGAGGTATCCAAGCAATCGACTTTTGTACAAAGTCTCCCTCTGTTATGTGTGACTGCCAACACGTGAAGGTTGACTACCACTATTACTACCAGAAGTTACAAGAACTTCAAATTACCAAATCAAATTACCATTGATATGTACTCTTGTAAGACTTCTCTACCTACCTATTTTATTCAAATAGGATTATTAGTAGCTTTATCATATACAGTTTGTTCCATCTTAATATCTCGAAGTAGACTCCATCTTAGTTTCCATTTCCTTGTTTCATCGATTGGTCCACTTACGCACTCCGCATACTTAATACTGTGGCTGATTTTACTGCTCTTTTAAGAGGAACTTTATTTTCAAGCCAATAGTGATGATTTTTGTTTGCATAGATGTATATGATAAATTTGTTCAGATTGAGGTGTAGGTCGGTCAAGGACTTTGTATTGGTTTTTGTGATCTTCTATTTAGGATCCATATTAAGGTGAATCAAGTGTGAAATTTTGTAGTTTTTGCATACCATCCGTTTTGATAGTGAGTAACGTATATATATAAAATTAACGACAATAGTAATTTAATATGTTCCCAATAGTGGGAAACCTATGTTCAGCAGTGAACAGTTAACGGCTGTTACGATAATGATGATGTCTATTTTATCACATAATCACACCAAATACCTGTTCCTCAAGCTAGAACTCTGTGTGTAATGAGGAACTGGTTCCTCATAACGAATATCTGTAACACCCAGATTTGAGCCAATTTAAAAAGGGTTTTTTCCTAAATTGACCCAACCGAGAATCAAACCCAGTAACTTATTACACAGAACATTGTTTCTACCACTACGCCACGGAGGATGTCATTGTTTATTATATTTATGTAGATATATAAATATAACTTAAGATTGTGTTCCACAAAAAAGCCTAAATTCAATTATGGAAAAATCTGTTATTTTGAATTAAAAAACTAGTCACTTTGATATAAAATTATAAAACTGAACTCCTGAACCGATTTTAATAAAGTTTCTATGGGACTAATCTGAAAGTATGTATGTATATCTTTCAGATACAAGTCGATTTGGAAAATTATTTTTTTAATTGACAGAGTTATGAGGTAACTAATTATTTATTTAATTAAACTTTTTGAAAAAAGCAACAGCTGAGTTTCTTGCCTGTTCTTTTCAGCTGAAATTGCATTCGGAATAGGCGGTAAAAAATACTATTCACAAATTCAAATGTAAATAGGAATATGATAAAGGAGTCTATAAGTACTTACTTATAATAAATAATTAAATTGTGATATAATAAAACATAATAATATGAATCATGAAAATTGTACGTATAATAATAGCTACGACAATGAACCGAAGTGAACTGATTCTGCTACGTCGTAGCGAGATTGCTACGAGCGCGGTAAACTGATATTCTGAAAGCACCTAAACTAATTTATATTATCCTATCAGTTGTGAATTGACACGTTATCACGTGACCACGCCTAACGGTCGACTCGTCGCGCCCACCGCCTTCCGAACGTGCCTGGCGGCCAATCGACGCGCGCTGTTCGAAATTTAAACGCCACAGCTGATGTATATCTGTTCCGCTCCCACTTACGAATAGAGGAGAGATGGGCTATTTCTTTTTTCAAACAGAAATTTGTTTTTAATTATATTTGGAAAGCAAAGAAATTTATATGTATTTTTTTTATATAGGTAGTACGTTATTTGGTAAAAGATTTTTTTACTAATATAATAAAATAATAACTAGACGATGTCTGTACATGGGGGATATTTGATAAAAATTAATATGAGGGATCTTAATAAAATCAGTAGTGTCAAAATATTTTTTTTTTTAATTTTGACTGTCTGTCTATCTGTTTGTTTGTCTGTCTATATGTTTTCATAATTGTGTTATTGAAGGTCGAATTTAAAATACGGTGTAGGTATATTTTGTCATCATCATTTATTTTCATTGATCATTGATTTTCCTACTTCTGAGATTCACATGTACGAAGTAACGGACTAACGTCTGTTAAAGAAGAAGCAGACATGTAGTTATGTTATGAAAATTTTATACAGGGGGTGTGACAGTATTAAAGTAGTAAATCATACATTTACATCCTTTTATGGCAGTACCATCTTTATAATCCGACCAGAATGAAATGACCTACCGATATCAAACAAATTGTTGAACAATACAATCTATACGGGTCTTCTTAAGCTGGTGTATAACCCCTGCACTACGCATAACATGTTTTTTAGAAAAAAAATGTAAAAAAAAAACTAAAGTGGTTGAATGCATGCGTGGGCATGAATAAAGGGTGTTAAGGCAAATTAATGTGTTTCTCCCATTGGCTGCAGATAGGTGGAAAATGTATTGTAGACATTTTATAGAGCAAGTTCATTAAGTCATAGATAGTTTATCTCTAGCAACAAATCGAAACATTTAATATATTGTTTAAAATTTTATTTGTACTAATATTGGACATCGGTGGGGGGAAAGGGATTGTTAGTAATGGAGACTAAAAATCCCATTGCTAGCAAAATACCCAACCAGGTCGACCTCTTCGTGGTTCCCCCTGAAAACTATCATGGTTAATTCCTGATGAATTCATCATGATGAGCTAACTAGCCTGGTTTTCATTCTCATCGATCACCCTTCACTGGTGCTCCGCCAGTGTATCCCGTTAGCGCAGGCGGGGTTGCCATTCTATTTTCATCCACCAAAAAAAAAATTGGACATCGGCAGACAGCGGATTAATTATTCATTTGTTTACATTTTCATTAAATTCTATTGAAACTGATCATATATATGTGTTTTTTTTTAAATAGGTCACATACCGCTTAAAAATATCCATTAAACGTGAAAACACCATGACCATCATATTTTTCAC